GGGGGGGTTTCCATAGTTCAAGACGTAGTCACCTTATGACATTGACATCAGGGATCACGTCGGTGGATGTCGTTTGTAGAAGATTCTCTCAAGGCAGCTGGTAGGAATCTCATTTCAATGCTCACAAGATAGAGAGACTGATTGGGGGTAGCCTGCAAGACTTTATTTACCCTGAAAGTACATTTGGACGATTGATTGAAGGCAGCTGGTGCTGGGATGATTCTTGGAAAGCTTCAGGGTGTTTTGGAAGTTTTTAGCCACTCACAGAGGCGCTCGGAACCTCTTGGAACCATGTCAGCAGCTAAGTTCAACAGCTGAGGAATAGACGCGCGTTGAAAAGGCAGCCACAGTGTGGCACACTTTGTAAAGTGCATTGATGGCCTCCTCCTGAAGAGGAGTTCCACTCATTCCATCTAAATACGGCATGGCCCGGCGGATGCCTCAGAAGCATCTTGAAATCAGTGATCTAGTGATCTGCAGTCCTGTACCCCACCAGCATGAACGGCAAAATGCTGATACCAGGCCACCATTGATAAGTGTGCGCACCAAGCGATTGTCTTCTTCTCGAAGAGGTTCCTTTTTCTTCCTCTTCGGTGCCCAGCCTTTCTTTCGCCTTTGGAACTCCTGTGTTGCCCAGCTTCGGAGCGCGTGCCGAAAGAAGCTAATGCACGTGGCGCCAGGAGTCCAATTCTGCAGCTACCCTTTGCTAGTTCTAATGTCTCTTGTTCTACCTCGCCGGTCTAGCAAGTTGCTTCCAATCAGTTCAGCCATCTGACCTTTGACAAACTCTTTTTCACACAGCCAACACTCAAGACCCCCAAGTCAGCAGTTTCTAGAAACACGCCAACATGTGATGGGGCCCCTGTTTGGCCTGTTTGGCTTACGCAAGAGCTTCCAAACACCATTCACGCAAAAAAACAACAACGCATTTTTTCGACACGACTTAGCAAGCTTTGTGAGGAACGTTGGCGTAAGCTCCGGAATTGGATAGAAGTGGCCTTTGCACCCATCAACAGCTTGAATCAGGTGAAAAATAACATGTCAGTCAGTGAATGTATACCACCGAGCTCCTTTTTGCTAAGCTTGGGCCTCCGCAGTGCCAGCTCCAACTGTGCCACGAAAAGCCGCACCATTTGCGAAGCCACTTCCCCATCCTTCCGATTCAATGTAACCTCCTTGGCGAAGCAAAAGCAGAACGTGTCGGAAGTGAGGAAATAAACTAAATTGCAATGGCCTCCAACCTAATAGCGATGGCCTCGAACCTAATATGGCCTCCAACCTAGAACAAGTATTTTTCATATAATGTTGCCATGTCGGTGCTATGAGGCAATGAACCAATACGACTTGCAGCGCTTCTGCTGGAGTGCGCGTGACGCTTGACCCATCCATCGCAGTTGGAATCTGTGCTTTTGGAAATGAGGTGCTGATAGGAGGAGAAGGGCGGAGTACTTGGAACTCTGCGTGATGTTGGGTCTTGCCACAAAGGCTTCAACCTCCTGCACCGAAATTCCGGCTCACACTCACACATCCGTAGCAAGAGCTTGTGCCAGAACCAGCTCCTTGAGCACGGGGCTTTTCATGCCTGGGTGCTCCTTCAAAAGCTCCTTGATGCACCAAGCGACGTTCGAAGACACCTTCAGGCTTAGCTAGGAAACTCAGCATTTACGGTTTCACGGACAGGTGAGCTGACAATCTGGCAGAAACCCATTCACCTTGTTTATCTTTTGTATTCGCACAGAAACCCCACGACCATGGCCTTGCTCGAGGAATCGCCGAGCTTGTTAATCAACATCGCAAGCAATGCCTTTTCTTGTTCTGGCTTTGCACTCCTAGGCGCAGCCGCCCCGTGCTATGAAAACATATGGAAACCCATGATATCATGATACACATCTGTACATGCTTGCATTAAACCCTGGATCTTGCTGCCGCTATGGTGCAAAAGTTCGTAAGCCGTTCTGACAGCACGGTTCTTGATGAAAACAACTTGGTTGTGCCCAGCGGCTGCCACTATCTGACAGCCATAGCAAGTCTCTGGAAAAATGTGTCTGACGCACTGAAATAGCTATATATATATATGTATGTATACAATTATATACATATTCTGTCCAAAGCCCCGGCCTGCACAAAGGCGGCGTAAGCAGTCTTCAAGTAGTCCTGTCACCAAAAAAACTGGTCTTCCCATGTCAGGTGGACTGGAAGAGGAGGGAGGGGCCTGGAGGCACGACCGCAAAATATGTTTGGGCACAGCTTGACCGAAGGTAGCCCCTCCTCGAAGAAACAAACGACACAAATCTCTGTGTAGGTTGACTTCTTTAGACCTTTTGAAGACCTGAGCTGCATTGTGACGCAAGACCGTGATTGTCCAAAAACACTCATTCTGAAATATGGCCTAACTTTCAAGCGCAGCATTGAACACCAGTCAATAGCCAAGTTGCACTGGATCCATTTGATCAAGAGTCTTCAACTTCCGGTCGGGCAGGAGTGTATCATGGAAAAGCTCCTCAAACAGTTGCTGTGCAAGGCCGGCGGCAGCGGCAATCCAACTTGTCGAAAGGAAAACACGCTGAAATCGCTGGGTTCCGTCTCCTTTAGAGCATCAATGGCCATGGTTGAATCACTCCGGGTCGTTCGGGCAGCCATCGCCAAAAGCGCTTTGATGTAGTTCGTCCTCAGAAATGGCGCAAACAGTGGCAGTCTTGACGTCGCAAACAACCTTGTTTCTTCATTTTTACCGTTTTTCCTCGCGTCATGCAAAACTTCACAGTTCGCATCGGGCAAGCGGCGAAAACACAGGACAAAGCTGCACCAACATGGTCAAAGATGCAACTTTGTCTGCGGAAGTTCCATCAGAGCTAACTTTCCTCAACCAGCCTGAGTTCGTGCAAAGATTAGGCATACCGGGATATGCTGGCTCATGGACTCTGCCCAAACAGTGCCGCAGTCTCCACACGTGTGCGCAAACAACCGTCCAACCGACGTGAACATTATGGGATTGATCAACATTGCCACGGGGCGTTGTTCAGAATCTTGTGACATTGCAGATTCGTAGACCTGTGTTGCCCAAGTTTCAACTCAACCAAACTTATCGGATGTGGTTGTTGTGATCCCACAGGCGAGTGTGCAAATCAAGTCTGCCAAAATGTGGGGCATGCCCAAGGCCTTCCGCATCTCCTCATGCCGTTCGGCGCATGCTTTTTGAAAATCGGCCGGTTTGCCACGTTTCTTGCGCTCCTGGCGTTAACACGACATAGTTGCAGAATTGACGCAAGGTGTTTTTCAGTTTCGTGTAACACAAAACCTGATGGTTACCGTGGTTGTGGTAGATCACCTTGCTGAAATGGGCATATGGCGTCTTTTTCGCATGCAAACATGCTCAAATGCCAAGGCAATGCGGCGCCGTGCTCGACGCCTGATCTTGAGAAGTGCCGATCTCCCACCACCTGACATTCCCATTCTTGCTACTGGTGCCCGAAAACACTCCAAACGCACGCCCGTGCCTGGACGTTGAAAATGCCTTCAGCGCTTCCAGCAAGGCATTGGCCATCACCAGTGCACAATTACATGGCGAAGGCAAGCAAATCTGTTTTGATGCTTTGTTTCCCTCCTCGGACCAGATGCGTGCTCGTAGGTGTCGGTTTTGCAAACAATGTCGAAAGTGAAAGAACTTGCTTTCTCTTTTTGGGGAAGGGTTCTAGGTCCATGAAATGCACAAAATTGTAGTGCACTTGTGCATGGGTTTTAATGTCTCAAAATGGGAGCCAAATCATGGAGAACAAATGTAAAGTTGGCTCCGTAAACAAACTCGCCCAAGTCAAAACTCATATTTATATGCTACGATATGTTACGGTGGGTCACCGCTTCTAAGTGCGCCTGCCACACAACACTGTTCCAAACAGTTTGTTAGTCCATTCCCACCTCCAGTGCGGGAGGCCCACCCAGACCACCCCACCCTGAAATGCATTTGAATGAAATCGGTGGTCCAGTGATCTTTCTGGAAAGACTCATGTCGGACAGCGTCGCAAAAAGTGTCAACGCTGAAAACCATGAATGATGGCCAGGTCGCTGCCAAGGAGCGGCCACTTGTGTACGGCCAGCGGCGAGGACCCGGAGGAAGGTTTATTTTTTTCTTTCCGACGCGGCTTTTTGAATCACAGGTCCGGCCTACGCTGTTGGAGACAGGTCCGCGTCCTGAGGTGCGAACTCAATCAAGGAACGAAACCCACCAGCAAAGTCCAGAAAGGGAGTGGCCAAGTCCAAGCCGGCAGCCAAAGATGCAGGAAATCAGGGACGAAGCGGCAGTCGACTTGGAGCTGGAAAAGGTACGGGGTCGTCTGCCAGGAGTTGGCCGAGAGGAGGTGCGTCGATAGTTTAGCCCTTTTATGCCCTTTTTGCTTCACATTAGCACCTTGCAAGCCCGGCAGGATGAAGTGAAATGAAATGTTTCTTTAAGTACGTTTCACCCCTCAATCGGTATAATGTGTACCATCACTACGGCACAGCGCAAAATCCGGTGTGACCCCGGGGCCGCCGCTGCCGGCGCCGCCGCGCGCAAGCCGCGACACCTACCCGGAGCTACCCCGAGTTCGCCCGCGCTCGCCGTCCTCGCCTTCGAGACCGGCGGCCGGCGGGGCGACGGCTGCGAGCACTTATTGCCCAAGGGTCCGCCATGCTGTCTCACGGTCCAAAGATTACTTCGATGGCAGCACCCTTTCTGACGAAGTCTGGGCTATCCAAGGCACACTTTGTCAAGTACACTTGAAGCATTTGTCCGTTTCCTGGCAATGGACGACCTCATGTGGATAATGATTTCGTGATGTTTGTTCGTGGAGGCCATTCACAACAGAAAGTCACGAACCTCTGTTGTTTACAAAGTAACAAGGCATACGGTGCGCATACTTTAGCATATATTCCAAGTCGTCTCCCCTTTCGGCGGTAAGCAATCGCCCTTGGATTTTTGGCACACCTGGAGACTGGCCAGTATAAAAACAGTCCCCGCAGCCTTCTTTGCCCCTTTTAAGTGCCAAAAAAATTATGCTGAATACTTTGGTGGCTGAACTTGAGAGGAGGGAGACACGAAAGGTAGGACAGCGGGAAGAGAAGAGAACGCGAGAGGCAGGAACAAAAATGCAATGTTCGACATGGTGATTTATCCCCTCGGAGGCGACCTTTCGTACATATATGTTCATATGCACTTTAAATGTTCAAACATGTGCTCTCGAAATGTTCAAAAAGATTCTTAGGAAAACAAACTTGCCCCATGGCTCAGATCATCGGTGGGCATTGAATCGGAACATCATAGGATTTGAACTATCCTGAAACCATAAGAGGCTCACGAAGACGCTCCCCAGGAGAGAATTGACGTGCTTCACAGAACACCTTTCGTGATTAGAATTTCATATTCACTCTTTCTGAATGTTCAAGAGGGTTTCAACTATCCTGAAATCATGAGAGGCTCACAGAAGACGATCTCCAGGAGAGAATTGATTTTAGAGGGGGGAGGGGGGGGCTGAAAGAGTGACTAGGGCGTACACGGTTGAGGTGCAGACCGCTAGTGTCTTTTATACGCAGAGTCTTATCCTCTTGAGCCTTATGGCAGTCAAGCATGGACACACTAGATAGGCCACTGGAGTGGAACCTGTACAAGTAGGCCTCTACATTTCAGCAGGCACAAAATTCATGTCCACTCCTGCCTATTGCGTATGTCGCACACTATTTTTCTACCGCAAGGCTAAAACAGTCCAGCAAGCTCTAGTAAGCTTAAAAGGAAACCACGGTGCCCTGTACTTACCAATTCCAGTGTATTACACACTTTAGAAAAGATAATCTCTAGGTATACTAAATACAGTGAGGGAGCAATAGCTGACTCACCTCAAATACAAAGTCAAAGACAATGTATCTCGGCTGGAGACTGTATCGTTCACCGGCGAAGATACCATGTACCGGCGCTCAATAGCCCTTAAATAGCCAGAGCTTCAAAGAAACTTAAATTCAAAGGAAAGCGGCTTTCTTGCACAGAGACCTGTAAAAGCAGTAAACGACACTCGCGTAACGAAGAACTAAAATTTCAAGACCGCACAAATTGCAATGAATTAAGATGCCTTGCAAAATGCAAGGAGCGTCAATTCTCGGTCCGAGGAATGGTCTTCTCGAAAAGTGGTCTCGGCCGCTTCCATACACAGG